TGAATTATAAATAGAATTAATAATAAATTAAATTAATTAATATAAATTACTTATTCACCCGATTTAGTAGTGATCGGGATTACTGCGCCACGTGCTGCGGCTGCGCCATATGCTGCGCCACGTCTACTGCGTCACACGAATAAGCTAATTGGTTACAATATGATCTTTATCAAATTTTTGTTATTTTTAATATAATTATTATAATTTGAATAATTTGTTCAAGTTTTTTTAAAAAAGTTATTAATAATTTAATTATATAGATATTTAAATAATATTTTAGACTGGTTTAAGTATTAATTATTATAATATTAAATTAATTTAATAAAATAAAGAAAAATAAATTTAATAGATTATTATATAATAATTATAAATTTAAAAGATTAATTTTATTAATTAAAATATAGTAAAAATTTAAATTTAAATTTTTATTTTATATCAAAATAAAATTTATAAGTTATAATTTAATATATATATTTTTTTTAAAAGAATTATTCTAATTGCAAACTTTTTTTTCTAATTAAAATAAAATTTAATTAAAAAAATTTTGCAATTAAAATAACTCTTTCAAAAAAAATATATATCAAACTATAACTTATAAACTTTTTGACTTTCAATAATTTAAAATACATATTATTTAAATAAAATAATAAAAATATAATTATTAATCTAAATATAATTTTTTCTAATTTAATATAAATAATTAAACTATATTAATATTAAAAAATACAGAATTATATTTAAGTTAAAACTAATTCATAATTTTAAAATATTAGAAATTTAATATTATACAATTTTTCAGACAAATTTATTAATTTACAGATTAAGAAATAGTTTATACAAAGTAATTCTTATTAAACTTATTAAACTTTATAAAGCTTATTTTCTTGAAAATAGAACTTTATTATTAAAGATCGATCTAACTATATATAAAATGACTATAATATAAAAAACTTTGCAAAATCGATTCAAATTGCTATTTACTTTGAGCAAAAAAATAAAAATTCATTATTTAAAAATTAAATTGCAATAAAAATGCTATAGATATTTTTATGAATTTTAAATTATGTTAATTGCAATAATGGCTTATTTATAAATAGACTGAACTCACGTGAACATTAATTATTAAAAACTAAAATCTAGCTTCTTCCCAAAGAGTCTCTCCTGAGCAAGTACAAATCTTCTTCTTATTCTCAAAAGCACCAGCACTACGAGCGATAATCCCCGCAATCAGTCCTGGACCCGAATTACCATCGATCTTACTCTGAAAATTATCACCTCTGCCTAAATCGTCCTCATTTAAACTAATAACCAACGATCGCCCAATCAAATCCCAGACTTTGAGACGATTACTTTCAATAACCAAATCGCCGTATCCGCGTTCATCAATTTCAATATTTCCCAAATCGCCCACGTGGCCTGTCGTCGCATCACCGTGCTCCTTGTTGTCTGGATTATAGTGACTGCCGGTGCTTTGTGCGCCTTGAGAAATGTTTCCTAGTTCGTGAACGTGAATACCATGATTGCCTTGTGGAAAGTCTTCGATTGTGATGTCGATGAGACATGTCTCACCGTCTATTTGTACAAAACGAGCGAGTCCTTTAGGGTCATATTGTTTTTGTGGTTGTTGTATTAAACTATTATCAAAAGTATAAGGCTCAAATATGCATACAGCTGCTCCAGAATGTGATCCTTTAAGAGAAATACAAAAATTCTATTTACTTATAAATGCTAAAAATAAAAATCTATTATCAATTATTATTTACCTTTGATAGTACCTTGCCCACGAACAATGACTTTTCTTCCAGAGTTTTTTAAAAGTTTTGATATTTTGGAAGGAGGTGCTATTATTCAACATGCAATATTAATAATTATTATAGATAGTTAGAAAATCAAAATTCACGTACCAGTTCCTTCTACAATCACGCGTTGTTCCTCGAGATTAATATCGAAATGATCAACTCCTAAAGCGCCAATAGTTAATTAATATGATATAATAATAACATTATATCAAAAAATAGGTATTTCAACCTACCAGGAACTTCAGATAACACGTTCTTTACTGCATCAACACAGTCTTTACATGTTATTTGAACCGCATATTCTGTCTATTTAATTTTTTTATATGCCATTATTCTTTTTGTTTAATAATCCACGATATTGATCTAGCAAGTATACCTTGAATGATGTTTTACTTTCTGCCGACATTTTAACTATTTCATACAAGATCTTCCCCAACGTAACCAACAAGTTTTTCGTGTGGTCGTAGGTATAAGAGGGGATCCTTGGGCTGTAATAAGTTTCTATAGTTCGTCGGCGCGTCGGTACTGGGATAAGAATGTCTATGAATCCGATTAACTTTCTTGAACTTTTTGTTATTTATAAATATTAACCAAAAATTAGAAAATTTTTCAAAAAAATTAAACATAAAAAGAAAGGTACGAAAATTTAAGCATATTTTTTTTATGAATATTTTAGCATGATAAACAAAAAAACCATGACAGAACATGATAAACAAGAACCCTTGGCTAAATACGATAAACATTACTCCGACTTGCTTCAAATTTTAAAATAAATATGGAGCTTCGCATTTTTTTAACGTTGTATTTATTTAAGGTTCATTGCGAATTTCACATACTATGATGATACAAATGCGCTTGTAGTAAATTTTACAGAGGAACCCGACGAGCTTGCCGAAGATGCGACTAAATACATTCTCGTATATTACAATCAGACTGACAAGATAATGGCAATTCGTATAGATTCACCAACAATATGTATTCGAGGGATAACGAGTGACAAGCCATCCTTTACACTTAACCCCACTTATGATGAGGAACGCGACATATTTAAAATTAACTTTGCAGATTCCATTTCCATGACTACATTCCAAAAAACTGATGTTGAGGATGTCGAGATAGAAATAGATGATGAAGGAAAACTCGTTGCAATATTATTCCACATGTGTGTAAAGTAGCGGGGATGAAAATCAGAAATATCATTTTATGACCATTTATTAAAAAAATTTGCTTTGTATACTAATTAAGTAATATGTATATGTAACTTCAATAATGTAATAAAAATGCACATATGATTATAATTTTCTTTGGTGATCCGTAATGCATTTAAAGTTTTAAGTTTACTAAATAAGACCCAATTCTCGAAGATGTTCTGGAATAACTATATATGAGTCTTCGTAATACCAGACATACCTTAAAACAATCCAGTTTTCTTCACATAATTCTTTCTTGAGTTGATCCCGTTCTTGCTGTTTGATAAAATTATTGGGATCATCTTTATGAAAGAATTCGATATATTTTTCATGTTGTTGCCCTTGTACTTCTATAGCTAATCCAAATTCTGGATAATAAATATTAAGATGTAGTCCAGTTGGATACTCGAGAGTTTTAAGAAAGTCTGGTTGGCGTATTTTGGATGGTAGCCCAAGATATTCTGTTACAATTTTACGGCATAATTGTTCTCGCAGTAAGGACACCAAGTTCCTCTTTGAATTTGATCAATTCGAGCAAGCCATGAATGGCCTTTAGAACAACTCCAAGAAAGTGGAGTACGTCTATTACAATAAGAACTAGAAATACATTTGCCACCCTTTTTATTTGCGAGATTTTGAGCAAATTCAAGACTGTTTTTTTGCATTCACGACACCAACATTTATAATTTTTGACCTCTGCAAGAGACAGGCGAAATTGATGATTATTTTTGCATTCCCATAAAAGAGGTGATTTATTGTTAATATAATTCTCAGAAATACATCTTCCATTTTTAACAAGTGCTAACTCCCGAGCTACTGAAATATTAAGTTTTTACTCACACAATGAGGGCACCATGAGTGTTTATTTTTGATATTATAGAATCGAGTCCATTGATGAAATTTATTACATTCCCAAAGCATTCAAAGCATTGGAGTTATATTATTAATATACTTTATGGAAAGGCATCTTTCTCCGTGAGATTCTGCTATCTTTATTGCATCATTTAAAGATAATTTTTTAGGCATTGTGATTAACAATATATTTTTAAATAATTATCTTACTTTTCAATATATTGTGCAGTATCACAATCTAATCTATATTATGAATACACAAGAAACAATTTATGCAAACTATGTATAATATAAACATGACCGATCAAGAATTCCAAACCCAAGATACTATCCCAATTTGTGCATGTGATCATGAAGCAGAGATCAATTATCAGGTTAAGAAAGTGATTAATATTTTGTATTAGCAATTACTGGAATATAATGAAAAAACTTTTGGCAAATTTATGCAAGAAATTATTATAGAGTATAAGGATAGGATCAAAGTCAATAAGAAATTGCAATATGAGATTAAAGAAAAGAAGATAAAATTGCAAGAGGCAAAAAAATATCTTGCATCTCTGAAATCTCACTTTGATTAAATAGAAAGATCAAGAGAAGTGTCTCATCCCAATCTAATTGTTAAAGTATCATCTACTGGCTTAGTAAAATCAAAAACTACAAAATCTTAATTCTGTAAATACTTATCAATTATTTTGAATGCTTTTTTTGAATCATCTGTATATTAATATATAATTTTGTAGATATTATTCTGACTTCTATTATCTCAAAATAAAGCTAAATATGAAATATTTTCATAAATAATTTTAGATATTTATATATATTTCTGTGATATATATATAGATAAGATATTTCAATACCAGCTACTAATAAAGTAAGAAATAATTTATTCTTATACTTTTTTTGATTCAGTATATAAATTTTTGAAAATAACAACTATACTTCTTTTTGATAAGAATTTAGTTATATCAGAAATTTTATCTAGTATTATTATTTTAAATATGATATCTTCTCTATATGATTTTGAAATATTTGTAAAGATCTGATATGCATTTTTTACTAATTTCTATTTTAATTTAGAATACTTTCTTATTAATATCAGATTGTTATTCTTAATATATTGATCATTTTTTTTCCTATTGAATATATATTAAAGTTTTTTATTTAGCATAAGATTAATTATCATATTTGTTTTTCTACTATTAGAACTTATACATATCAGTAATTTGAATGGGATATCTGAAGAATATTTATTATCTTTTATTCATTCTAAAGATTTTTTAGATATCTTATTAAGTTGATATATATATATAAGTATGTTTTTTTCTTTTATTTCAAATAAACTAAAAATACTAATTTATTATATTGAAAAAATTTATATCATATATTTTTATTTATTATGTATTAAATAACTCTTTTCTTCTAATATATACTTAATATAAGAAAATAAATTATAATTGAATAGAATACAAATAAGATCTATATCTTGCTCTTTATATATATCCTGCTTTTTTTAATTATATTTTCTCTGTAATTCTAGATCATCTTGATTTTTGTAATATAAACTATTATAAAAGTAATATTAAATATTTTAGAATTTAAATATCAATTTTAATTCTTTATTATACCTATCTAACTATATCCTATTCAAAAATAATAATTTACAAAATAAAAATTTTTTATTTAATAAATCTTTAAAAATATATCTATAGTAATACTTATTAGTATGATAGAAACAAAATGGATACCATTTAAAATTTATAAATATGGATATTTCTACTGATAAGTATTATTCTCACAAGATCAAAGAAATATATCTAGATTATTTATTCTACTAGTTTTTTCAAGATATTATCTATTATACTTTCTAGTAAATTTTTTAGCTTAAATTAGCTTGCTATTAGAAGCATGTATAAAGTGAACTAATTCAGTAAAATAATATTTTCATATAAATTTATCTGGAAAATATTATATTTTTTTTAGATTTTTAATAATCTGAATTTCTTCTTGCTTAAATAGTCTTTTTAAATTTTAACCTATTAAATACTTAGTTGAATTAATTAGCTTATTCTTGAGATAATATAAGACTAACTATAATAAATTCTTATCAATAATAATTTTTTTGATTTTATAAATTCATAATGATTAATATGAATTAGTTATCCTATAACTATAATCATCTTCTAGTTCATCAGATTTTAATAAATATCTTACTGTAGTATCTTTTTGTAATTTTTATTTATATTTTCTAATAGATCTCTTAACTTTACTAGAAAATCTTGATTTAACTTCTTTCAATATTATGATATATTATTACTATAGTGACATAAAATTTCTTAATTCCTTAATTTTTTTCTAATTATAAAAAATCATATATTTTCATATTTTTCATTTATATTATGAATATTTCTATTTCTATATCATATATTACTATATTTATTATCATGATTTTATTTTTAAATATTATATTTTATTTAATATTCAGGATCTATATTTTATTTATCTTGTAATATGATATTTATATACATAGTAGAATAGTATAGTAAAAGATCATTTTTAATTTTGGTGGAATAGTTACACTTAGATAATAATTTTAAATATCTTTTCTCATTCTTTGATATCCTTTGATATTCTCTCATATTTTTTCATATCTTTCCACATCTTTCAATATCTTTCATATCTTTTCATGTCTTTTCACATCTTTTAATATCCTTTTACATACTTTGATATTCTTTAATATTCTTTGATATCTTTCAACATACTTTAACATAACCTATTTATAATTAATTATACTATAGTATTTTAATTATATCTTGTATATTAGATAGTATTAGCTAATAATATTATAATAATTTTTATATCTGAAAAATATATA